AACACAGGCCTGATCGTCCAATGGGTGCTAGACCCAATACCGGCACTTGGGGCACTTCCCCAAGTCAGGGGCTTAATAGGAAAGTCTCCCTTAGTCCACAGACCTAAGGGGCCTCCTCGGCATAATTTAGACCCACCCCTCAATAAGTCTCCCACACCGGTCACAAGGAGAACTTTATTGATGACGGGGGTAGGATGGAAACAGGGTAAAAGGTAGAGCAATATCATAGGAATATCAGAGGGATCCCATAAAGCAAACCAAGGCTGAGGAAGTCTTTTGATCACGCATCTGAGTTACTGAAGCTAAATATCTAGTCTGATCTCGAGTAGCTTACTCACTCGCATCGTCCAGAGGTGGTTGGAGTTTCCTCTGGAGGCAGGGCACTCTTTGAGCATGCGGTTATGAGGAGAGAGCCAGTTTCAGATGGTGAAGCTCCTCTCCCAGTTCCAGATTCACCCGCATGACCGCATGGCTAATGGCTCTCTTCTTCCTGGACCGTGCCTTTAAATAACCTCTCTGATCTCAGCAGCCTGGTCCAATCGAAGCTGCCAGTGCTGGCCACTAGCCAACCAATTTAAAAAGCATCACTGGTCACCTGGGCCGGTGGGCGGGGCTTTTCCCTCCCCCACCCAGCCCCAGGTGACCAGCGCATCCACCTCCCAGGCACCAGGCTCGTGTCATGTAGACAGGGAGGAAGATCCCCACCCTGAGGGATTCAACACCAGCCTCTCACGCTGGCAGAGACAGATCTCTGGAGAGGGGCATGGACGGCGGCATTTCTGCCACACTTCCAACCCTGGCATCTATGAAACAGTCAGGTTCCAAACATTAAAAAAAAATTGAGCAAGAGATCACTTTTCCATCTCTCTCGTATTTTTTCACAAAATACACTTTGTGACCACCTCTGATTGTCAGTCTAAAAAATGTTTCAACATGGCCTTTTCTTGATAAATTTAAAGCAGTAAATATGAGCTGATGCGCTGTACTTCTGACTTGCTAACTGTTTCTCTTGTTTCCCTCCAAGGAAAGTATAGCCAGTGATTTTCATAAACTTGCTAGCAGTCAGTCCACAAGGTAAGATAGTTAAAAAGTGGTTGGTTGTGGTCTTTTCTTAACACCCCTGGCAGACAGCATTCAGTTGACTCCTGTCCTTGGTGGATGGAGTCACATTGGGGTACTCGCTGTTGTGAATTCCCCTTTGGGGAAGTGCTTGCTTGGGCCCCCAGCCTCATCTGAGTGCACCCTGAAGTTAGCCCAGGTGTTGCTTCTGCAATGGGGGGGAGCTTTGCCTCCCTCCAGCCCTGCAATCCCAGCCGTTTGATCCCTCACCCTCCCTGGATGCCCCTGGCCCTGCCTCTGGGAACTGCCTTCTAGTTCAACTTCAGGGATGGGGATTTCATTACTCCAAAGGGAGACATGCACCCTGAATTTCCAAGCAGCAAGGAAGAAAGCTCAGTAGCAAAGTCCTTTATTGGGGGGCTAAGGCCACCCACCAAGAAGATGCTGCCCCTCCAGAGAGCTGAGCAGTCCCTCTGTCACCAACCAGCCTGCACAGCCCTGAGCACCCCACCGTTAGCTCAGTCCTTCTCCAGTCTGAACTGTCCCCATGACCCCGAAGTTGCTCCGCTCTGTTACCAGATTTCCTCATGACTTTGGGGTGTGCTCATTTATTAGGGATATGTTTCTAGGATCCTGGTAATTCTATCAATGTGCTGCTTGTGTTACTTGTGTTTCTATACGGATCTGTATATCTCCCTTCTGCGAGTCCTCACCCTCACTGGAGCTATCTTGTAGGACTCCGTTTCAATGGGGCTGGGTTCCTCCAGGCACCAGATCAGTCACACACACAAACACACACAGATTAACATGACACGCCTGACCCGGCCGGGTTGGTCAGCATGGACAGGCTGACACCCTCATATGCCAAGAACCAGTTCATCAGAGCAACAATACACTGCAGTCAGACCGGGTAATGTATGGCCCAAGGTGCCTATTAAACTTAACTTGACACGCCTGACCCGGCCGGGTTGGTCAGCATGGACAGGCTGACACCCTCATATGCCAAGAACCAGTTCATCAGAGCAACAATACACTGCAGTCAGACCGGGTAATGTATGGCCCAAGGTGCCTATTAAACTTAACTTCTGCTTAGAGGTGTGTATGTGTGTGGGGGGTGGGGGGAAAGTCCTTTGTAAATCCAGATTAGAATTGGTTTGATAAATGCTGAGCTGTGTGTGTGTAAATGTGGGTCGATTAGCATTTGGAGCACAGATTCCCCATCATGCAGTGCTCCCCTGCTTCTCTGATCCCAGAATTCACTGCAGGCTCTGCTTCATGCTTTCTGTTCTCCATCTCCCATGTAAATGAATGGTCATCTGATTCCATCTCCTCGGATGCAAATGAGACCTAGGGCAGTTGTTTCACTCTTGTCACCCTTATCTGGAGGGTTTTAGGTGCGTCTCCCACTGCATCTTAATCAGTTGTTTAACCAGGCCTCTTACTTGACTAAGAAGAGAGAAAAAGAGAAGAGAAAAAGATGCTGATGCTGATGCTATGTGTCTTAAAATGTTCTAAGTTATGGAAAAACCTTCATGCCTTGTTTTGTCTGTGTGCAGATGTTAACCTCCTCCTTTCCAGGAACCAAAAACTGATAGCTGGTCCCAAAACACAATGTGTTTGCTGAAAAAGTAAACTGCCTATGTGTGACAAACGAATGATCAGCTTCTTCCTGCTTCTTCAAGGTTGCTCTGCCTGAACCATACATCTTTTCTTGCTGTCTAAAGTATAAATACACTTGTAAACTTACAGAGTTCATAGTACCTTTGAGAACCCACCTTGTGATCACTTGTATAGCTCTAAATAAACCAAGATGGCTCTGTCAATTCTGATACAACCACAACACGAAGTTTGATTTCTTCATGGAAGTTGTGGATCAGACCCCTCCTGACTCTGCCCATCAGCAGTTCCCACTGGCCTGGCAGTGATGTGCACCAGCACAGACGGTGATGGGTCACACAGGCAGTCTCTGGCCCAGGACACTGGGGATGTTGGGGTGTAAAGGGGCTTTGATACCAGCTTGATCTTGACCAGTGCTTCCCATTTAGGTGTGGTGAGCTCCTTAGCACTGGTAGGTGTGCAAACACCTATACATGATTCACTAAACCAACCCAAAACTTTGAAATAGGAATGCAGCGTCAAAACCATTTTTGATCCAATGTGGCCTTTCTGAGTTCTTTGCACCAGAAGAACTGCTGCGTTATTTTTCACTAGCTAAGCAAGTAAAAGGGAACAGGCATTTTCTGAGGGTGCCTGGAGTCTAATGATGGGGGATCTTGACTCTAAAAAAGACTGAGAACTACTGAAATGAGACATCAGATGTCTGAAGTCTGACAGAAGGCAGAATAGAGATGTGCCTTATAGACTCATGCGCCCTCAACCCCTGGCCCATGGGCCAGATCATGCTTGCAGAGCCAAGTCATTCATCCCCACAGGTCCAGCGATAGGTGACATTTTGGACTTGGTGATGGGTGAAATTTTGGACTTGTTGGGAGCCCCAGGCTGTAGCAGAGTAAAGTAGGAGCCTGGACCAAGTGCTCTGGGCACTGACCCCAGGGGCAGCAAGTGAAAAAACAGAAGCTGCTGCACTGCCAGGAGCACCACTCGGGATGCTGTTCTCCCCTCCCTGCTGCTCCCCACCTCCCAGGCACCCTGTACCCTGGGCACTCAGGCACAATGTGACATGTGCTGGGCCTGGGCCCCTTGTGCAGCCCGACCCCACATGAGGTCTGTGGTGCGTGGCCCTGGACTAGCTAGCACAGCAGAAAGCTTGAGCACCACCAGACACACAGAATCCCAGATGCATCAGCCTTCTGGAGCAAGTACTCACCTCATCAGACTGTAAGAAATGATGTGCAGAGAGCAGGTGTTCAACACAGAGGTATTTATTTTAAATATATAAAAGGGAATGGAGGGAGGGGAGGGGAAAGGGGGCAGTGCTGAGAGAGGCGAACCATGTAACCAAGTAAAACCCCTGGGGGACTGCAGGGACCTGTAGGTGAAGGATGAGAGTTTGGAGCCAGTCCCTCCCAGTGGGTGCTGTGCGTGGGGGATTGGGAGATGACCCCTGGGCCAAGGCAGCAGCAGAGTGCAGGCTGGAGCAACTCCGGTGATGGAGACCCCAGCCCTGCACCCACCCTGGGGGCGCCGGGGGGCTGGCAGTCGGGGTGCGAGGAGGGGACAGTCTGTGCCGCAGGGCAAGGCAGGGACAGGGATTCCCTCAGGGCTGGGCTGGGACCGGGCACAGGGTCAGGGGAGCCGCGTTGGTGCCCCCAGGATTGATACCAGGACTGAAGAAAGGGCGCAGTTTCCCCGAGAAGGTGTCAGCGAAAGTGAAGAGATGGGACCTGTCAGTCATGTTGTAAAATGAGACCTCACCCGCCTTGTAGTCCAGGAAAACCCCCACCCACCTTGGCTGCACGCGCACGGGGAGGGGAGTCAACGGGGAGGTCCAGGCCTCGTATCCCCCATCCCACAGACACACGACCCAGTATCCATTGCCAGGTGACCATGTGACCCACCCCTTCCTGCGCACAGACTCCCTGCACACCCCCAGAGTCCAGCCCGTCTTGTCTCCCACCTCCACCTCCCAGTAGCGCCTCCCGCCCGTGATCCCCTCCGAGCCCAGGACAGAGACACAAGTATCAAATCTCTCCGGGGTTTTGGGCAGATCCTGTCGGGTGTCTCCGTGTCTCACACATTTCCGATCCTCAGACAGGATGAGTTCGGACTGAGCGGTCCCTGGGTCCAGAGTCACGTCCACTGGGGAGAGAGTCACGGGTCAGGGCCAGGGCAGGCGGTCCCCGAGATCATGGGGAATTTGCTGCATCCCAGGACTTGCAGGTCAGTTCCAGCTGGGAGGGGGACATGGGGTGGGGGCAGGGCAGGCCCTGGGCGGGGAAGGGGCATGCGATGATGTCATACCAGCAGGTCCATGCCCCCCCCTCCCCCACATCTAGCTGGGCTGCTGTGTTGGGGGGTGCAAGAGGGGTGGGCTCCAAACCCACAAGCTGGTGTCACAGGCGCTGTTGGGAAGGGGGTGAGGAGGGGCAGGCAGGGAGGCTGCAGGGAGGGGGGATGGGCTGGCAGACAGCAGGGAGCAGAGGGCCCCAGAGCAGCCTCCCCGGGGAAGGGGTGGCAGGGGGAGCAGAGGGCAGGGCCTGGGGGTCTTTGTGCTCTGGGCCGGGGTC